CCATTGCAAGCAGCTGCAACCCCCGTCAGATCGCGCAGAAAGGCCACAGAGGATCTGGTCCCCGGCTCCCGTGAAGCGAAACGCCGGCGCGAGGAAGCGGTGCAGCTTGGCTGCGAAGCTCTCGTCGCTGCTGTCGCGCAGGTCCATGGCCATGACGACGCTCTGGTTGCCGAAACAGCTCAGGCTGCTGCGCAGAAATACGTGCCATCTGTCACAGCTGGCACAGTGGCCCAGATCCGCCTGCAGTGCACAGCAGAACTGCTGCCCATTCTTCCAGACCAGACACCGCAGCTTCTTGGAACGGTCGCCCATCACAAAACCAAGGACATATTAGCAACCATGCCTGGTGTGACGCGCTACGCTGTGCAACAGGCGCGCGCGAACAATCTGCACTATGGAGTTGGCCAAATCGCTCAGCGGACGCCAGCCACGCCGCGCAAGTCGCGCCCTCTAGATGCGAGCGTCCGCGCATTCACGCTGGATCACTCAGTTCCCAGTGCTCACAAGACAAAGGTGGACCCTGTCACTGGTGAGGCGAAGCCTATCGTCTACCTGGAAACATCGATGCGGAAGATGCACGAAGACGCCCAGAAAACGGCCTCCTGTGCTCTTGGAGCGTGTTCCAGCGCGCTCTACACGCAGGAGAGTTTATATTCCAGCGGCGTGTTCCTGAAAACGGACTTTGCGGCAACTGCCACCGAGCGTTCGCGGTTTTTAGCGAGGATATCCCTTTTCTGCTGCAAGAACTGGAACGATTGACGATCGCTTTTCCGGACGCACATACGGCAGGGCTGCGTCTACAAGGGCTGAGGGACCATCTTTTCGCTTTGACAGCTGATCCAACCAAGCATTACGACCACCCCTTCCACTGCCTCGCATTCGGGTTGGACGACTGCCAGCAACAGCACCACCTCGGCGTGCTCAGCAGTCCCCAGCCGTGCCCAATCTGCACCCAAGGCCTCACTACCCTTGCCGATCTGAGCCTGCACATCGACGCCCATCTCCCTCAAAACCCCGGCGAATGCGCCGATATGCAGACCATCCTGGAGCGAGGATGCCAAACTCTTCAGCAGTGGGTGGCGCACCTTCTCCGCTCGGCTCATACTCGATCCCTCATCAACAAGACGATCAACAACCTAGGTCCCGGTCAAGCTGTGTTCTTGTGTGATTTCAAAGTGAGTTTCGAACAGCCAAAAACTTTCCGCGATCTGTTGTCCTAACGAGCTTCGAAACTCTGTCGTCCTTCTTCCTGCTAACAGATGAAAATCATGCCAGATAACTATCGTCAGAGCAGCCAAGCTTTTTTCGCGAAAACTGGGATCTCTTTTCATGGAATAGTGTTCTTTTTCCGTCAACCCAGCACGAACGAAGTAGCCATGCTTCACTTCGACGCCTGGCTGCCCGATGAAAAACAGGACTGGATTCTGATCATCCATCATCTGCAAGCTGTGTTTGCAGTCATCAACTCGCTGATCACAGAGGGACGAGTTCCACCGTAAGAGCAGTGTTGTCGCGAAAACTGTTTGTCGCATTTCTCTCACCGCCCGCTCGTCCCAGAATCAATACTGCCTCTGTTGTTACAGACGCAGGTGCACACTACGTCAACTCGCCATTCAGCGTCTTCCTATCCAGTAAGATGCATACTCAAGCGAGTTTCGACATCACCGACCTTTGGCACTTCGAGGCTGGTGAAGGTGAGGAGCATGTCGAGCTGTCGATCCCCGAATCTTCAAGCGTACTGATAAGTTGTACATTTCAAACAGGCAAGTCACGCATCGACCTTCACTTTGCGCACGTCAGCGCAAAGTTCAGCGAGTTCATGAAAGGTGGCAACTCAATTCACAACGGCATGGATGTCGAAAAAGGTAGGGCCTTGTATTTCATGTATTCCATTTGTTTGAATCGATTATGGCTGCATTTGCTGACTGGACACGTATCAGCGCTCGCTACGATGCCAGGAATGACTGTCCACCAGCTGCACATTGACGAAGCGACGCGTCGCCGCCTTCAAAAGGTCCCAAAGAGTATCCCAACTCTGGATCAGGCAGGTCACATCGTGTACAACAACGGTGGCATGCAGGGATTCCGACTGAGCGACCGCTGCATGCTGTTCGAGTACACTGGCGAGCGGCTGCGAGAAGTCTATCGCCACGACTTCTCGACGCACCTGACCCTTGGCCAGCAGAACAGTCCACATTGGAGCAACAACGCCGAACACCACGCCCAGATTCGGCGTGAACGAGACTCCCACCCCGAGACTGCTGCCGTTTCTCCAGCGACGTCCGAGGCCGCCGCCGTTTCTCCCGCGACCTCCGAGACCGTCGCCGTTTCTGCCGCGACCTCCGAGACCGCTGCCGTTGGTGCAGCGACCCCCGAGACTGCTGCCATTTCTCCAGCTTCACCACGCACTCCATCCAATCAAGTCCCACTGAACGGTTCCCTTCAATTCACGCCAACGATGCTCCACACCATCAATGCAGCGCCAGTGTTGATGAAGGGGACCAAGACGTGTGGACCCCAGTCCAAGACGCGCAAGTCACTTGTTTTCACTCCGCCCACTCCGAGCAAATCTCCCAACCTCCAATGTCCGAAGTGCAGCAAGCTGTACAAAAGCTCTGCCTGGCTGAGTCGTCACATCCAAGACTGTGCGGTCGCCTCCAATGCTGAACTAGGGCTTCCTGAAGACGACCCGGGAAGCGAATTGATGGGCACGCAATCGGCAACTGCCTCCAACGCGGAAGAAGTGGCTACCACAGACGACTCTTTTTCAGACGAGGATGAAGCTACAGCCGCTGCATCTTCAGAAGGGGCAAGCTCGGCCTGGGTATTGACTTGCGGCGAGGAGTCCTCGCCAGAGCCAATGACGATGCCGGCCTCGATGCGTGCACTCTCGGCCAAAGCCAGCCAACCGCTGTTTCGACATGATTTCACAACAACTGAACCGCAGCTGGCGAAGTTGCAGAGCCTCTTTCCTGCTGGTGAAGGTTTTGTTACAGAGCCTGTTCCCGTGAATCGCACAACCGAAGAGGCACGAGCACCCATCAGATTCCTGTTTGAGTGCGCGAGAGCAAAAAAATGATCGCATCTTGCCTGCGGACGCTTTGCAACTCGTCATGGACCAGGATGGAGAATTGCGCTGCCGGGCGTTGCAGATTGATTTCCCTCACGTCAAGTCCTGGCTTGCCCAATGGGCTCGCGCCCCGCCTACAAACCAGCCGCGCTCGCTAGCAGCCAACAGCCCGCGGCTTGAAACTGACGAGGTGACTTTGGATTCGTTGCCTCCGAATGCCAGATGGGGAAACGATTCGGAGAACGAGGAGCTTCCCTCCTGGACAGCGGCCGGCGACAGCGATTTCAGTGTTACAAGTCCTTCTCGTTCGCCTCGGCAACGTCGAACGCGACGGCGGGTGACTGCTGCTGAGGAGGACTGATTTGCTGGAAGCGTTCTGGATCGGCGTGCCAGCATTGGCCCGCTGGCACGCCGCCTGTGTTCCGCGAACGTTGTTTTGAATGTGTAGTGTTATTTTGTGCGAAATATTACTGTTGCATGCAAATGGCGATGGTTGGGAAGTGCTGATGTTAACTTGCTTGGGCGCGATCGACACACACCGCAACAACGACCCGTTTCTCACCCAACCACTCTCAGGCTCGGCCCGTCCGCCTAGAAATGCCATCAAACTGCTATTTTAGATCAGAAAATGGTGGAGAGGCGGTACCTGAGCAACCCAAGACGACGGAATGAACGGGGCAAAACCGGCGACGCCGATTCCTCCACTTCTCGGTCCAACTACGTCGTCGCTGCTGGCTCTGCCCGCCGCTCCTATTAATAAACTTAAAATATGTACTTTATACAAGGCAGGGTAGTGGGAGATGCGGTGGAAGTAGTCACAATGAGCCGAGGGTATGCTAACGACCAAAACGAGGGGAAAAAGGTCGAAAAAAGTTGGGCCAGTGTCATAATGCAACGAAGTCAAGGGGGCCCCTTGCACAATGTCCTCACGAGTGATTTTGCAACCTATTCTTTGAAGCAAATCGATCGGAACCTTTGTCTCAGAACACTAAACACCTTGGAACTCAGTCTTTGAATTCTCAGCCGAAATCCGCATGAGTTTGTCGCGGTTTGCCAGTCCGGCGTTCCTGGGCGTCGTCGTGCTGGGTGCAGTGACTGGTTACTACAGCTTCAACGAGCCACTGCGGCAGTTCCACGCCGAGCAGCAGGCGATCGACCAGCGCGCCAACGGCAAGACTGGTAGCGGCGCAGTGCTTGAGCCATCGAGCAGTGCAGTTCCACCATCGTCATCATCACCACCACCGTCGTTACCATCATCACCATCATCACCATCGTCACCATCATCACCATCAACAACATCATCGGCTTGATGAATGCGTTGTCGTTTTTTTTTTTGGAGAGTTGCTTCTTGTTCGTGTTCCTCGTGGTCCTTCTGGATGTGATGACGTGCTTCCTCTCTCCTTTGCAATAGAAATCCTCGTACTCTGAATTCATTGATTCATTGATTCGTGCATTCACATTGTTACTGTTTCGTGTGCGTAGCCTGTTGTGATCAGAGATCCTTCCACGAAGATACGAGTAATGGGTTGATGATGAGAGTGATGATAGGGAAACAAGAGACTTCACTTATACAAAGCGACGAGTGAACACACTCCAAATACAGATACACATCAATCCATAACACTCCGCCTTTCTTTCCCCCCCCTTCCAAACATTCCCAAAGCACTAGCGCTTCTTGCGTGTGGGCATTTCCCGAGTATGCTTGTTCGGGTTAGCCTTATGAAATGCCTCCGTCATTC